GGATTATATTTGGAAATGAGGCCTCTACGGAGGTAATTAAAGTTAAATAAGGTCCTAAGTATAGGACTCTAATCCAGTAGAATTAATGTCCTTATAAGAAGAGACACTAGAGAGCTCTCTCCCCATAGAGCACAAAGAAGAGGTCCTGTGAAGACACAGAGATGGTGGCTGCCTTCAACCCAACAGAAGAGGCCTCAGAAACCTACCTTGCCAATACCTTGATCTTGGACCTCCATGCATCAGAACTGTGAGAAATAAATGTCTATTGTTTTAAGCCACCCACTCGATGGTATTTTGTCATGGTGCCCACTCTAATATACCACCCTTCTTCCCCATTTACCTATTTGCCTATTTTCTATTTCTTATAAGCATAAACTCATGGATTCCTAATCTTAATGGTTCATAATTTATTGCTGTCCTTAATTAATGATGCTAGTACAAGATTTGGCCAATGGGAAAACTTTCAAGCTTGCTTCTTTGTCCTCCTAAAAGAAAATCCTTTTCTTCTTATACCAGAAAGTAAGGGGGCGAAGGTGGGGAGGGCAAATGTTCTTGCCTCAGCATTAAAATCCATGATTTCTCTGGGAAGGACTGGTTCCTTTTAGTGGGGGCAGCCAGCACCCCAGTGCTCCCCCGTTGGTCAGTGCTACTGGTATATCTGCTTTTTTTTTCTTTCATAATTTATTGTTAAGTTGGATTCCATATAACACCCAGTGCTCATCCCAACAAGTGCCCTCTTCCATGCCCATCACCCCCATTCCCCTCTTCCCCCGCATTAGCCCTCAGTTTGTTCTCAGTATTCAAGGGTCTCTCATAGTTTGCCTTCCTCCCTCTCCCCCACTATTTTTCCCCTTCTCCTCCCACATGGTCCTCCGTTAAGTTTCTCCTAATCCTCCTATAAGTGGAAGCATATGGTATCTAGCTTTCTCTGACTTATTTCGCTCAGCATAACACCCTCAAAATCCATCCACGTTGCTACAAATGGCCAGATTTCATTCTTTCTCATTGCCATGTAGTATTCCATTATATAGGTAAACCACATCTTCTTGATCCATTCATCAGTTGATGGACACTTAGCTGTGATTTGGCTATTGTTGAGAGTGCTGCTTTGAACATTGGGGTACATGTGCCCCTATACATCTGCACTGCTGTATCCCTTGGGGAAATTCCTAGCAGTGCTATTGCTGGGTCATAGGGGAGTTCTATTGTTAATTTTTTGAAGAACCTCCACACTGTTTTCCAGAGGGGCTGAACCAGTTTACATACCCACCAAAAGTGTAGGAGGGTGCAAGTTTCTCCACATCCTCGCCAGCATCTAAAGTCTCCTGATTTGTTCATTTTAGCCACTCTGACCTGCATGAAGTGGTGTCTCAGTGTGGTTTTGATTTGTATTCCCTGATGATAAGTGATGCTGTCTTCTTTAATAGAACTAAGAAGCCTACACGTACATGTGCACATACTTTAGAAATCATGGGTCTGACAAAAATTATACATTGAGAAATGTCTCCACTTGCAATCTACTCCCACAGGCTTCCTTGACCTGCCTTATTCCATAGCCATATTTTTCTTCTTGCACAATTTCCTTCTTGTACAACCCTAGCTTCTAATACCATTTACTCAATCCTCTAGTGTACCTAAAATAACTTCAGAATTGCTTTACCACATCACTACAAAAATCAGACTAACTGAAAATTCAGGATCTGTCCCACATTCCTCACCTCTTCCCACACCTGAGTAAAGTATACTTCCAAATATGGTCTTCTACGGTTACTTGCATCAGATATAGTTTTCCTTCAGTGTGATTATGTTTTCATTCAAAAGACAGTTGGGTTCATTTGTTTCAGTTTTCTCTCCATCCTTATTGACTTTAATCCTGTCAAATATGTAAAATATGAGCATGCTTCCCCAAATCAACTAAATTAAAAGATGAATTCAGAAGTGTCATACCCTCCCATACTCCATCCTATTCTCCCACCCAACCCTTTTTCAGAAGCCAGCTTTATTTCCCCTTCATTCCTAAATATAATCTTGTGCACTTTGATTTCCAGTTGATACAATTAAATGAGAAAATCATTCAACACAATTTTTTCAAAGAAACAAAATTCTCATTCATTAATTTGATCTTTTTCTACCTCATCATTTCTACGTGTATCTTTATTATTTCCCCTCATATGCTTTTTTGGGTTGGCTTTTTGATACTTTTCTAGTTTTGTTTGTTTGTTTGTTTGTTTTTTGTTGGGAATGGAGTCTTTTTAATTCTCTTTGGTTTGGCAAATCTTTATCCATCCCTTTATTCTTAGACTTTTTGAAGGACTATGTTTTATGTATGTCTCTTACACAAAAACATAGAGTTGGGATTTGTTTTATGAACCAATCTTAAAAGTTCTTAGGTGAGTTAAACCCATTCAGATTTAGTGACATGACTCATAATATTTGGTTTCAATACTGAAATTACTTTGGATTTGAATTATACTACTTACTGTTTCTTTACTTTTTGCTTTAAAAAATATTCTTGGTGTTGGAAGCTTTTCCCCATTATTCTTGTATTTAACTTTTTATGCCTTATTGTGTTTTTCCTATTTAACATTAAAAACATTTTTTTAAATGTTTGTTTATTTTTGAGAGCGAGAGATAGAGTGCAAGCAGGGGAGGGGCAGTGAGAAAGGGAGACACAGAATCTGAAGCAGGCTCCAGGCTCTCTCTGCACAGAGCCCGAAGCAGAGCTTGAACTTACACACTGGGAGATCATGACCTGAGCCAAAGTCAGACACTCAACTGACTGAACCACCCAGGTGCCCCTCCTATTTAACATTATTAAGATCTGTCCATTTTACACGGTATCCTTTGAATCCCATTTACTAGCTCTACAATAAGCCATGATCTTATCCTACTTTCCCTTTTCTTTCCATTTTTTTAAAGTTGCATGCCTATACTTTGTCAAAACATATTATGTTTATATACCATTCCCCTACCTATATACCTATTCCTCAGCCCTGTTTTAATTTTAGTTAAATATATGAAATGTTAACCATCAGTCCCCTTACCCAAATTCCATCTCTCTTGTTTGTATGAAGTTCTTTGTCTAATATACACCCCAGGAAGGATGCATGTGCACACTACTCCTTTAGCTGGTGGACATTAAGAAAGTTCCTATTGAGACTGAAGAGCACTGTAGCTGCATATAAAATTAGTGATTTAGTCTTTTGAGTTTAACATGTTCCTCTCCTGTTTCTGATGCCAGCCTTAGTTTCTTGCTCTGTAGATTATTTCATCATTTTGCCTCAAGACTCAGAAGAAGTTATCATCAAAATCTATTAGTGTTATCTAGCTATGGGAAGAGGTGATGATCCCAGGTCAATTTTCCATGGCACCTACCAGGTAGACCCTTTTAATGTATACATTAGAGGCCTCTTTTATTTCTAGGTTTTATTTTTTTGAATCAGGAACTCCAATTATACAGGTGTTGGACTTCACTGACTCTTCATTTTAACCACTTTTTTCTCACCCTTTTAACTAATAGAGCCCATTTTCACTTCCTGGAATGCTTTCCTAATTTTTATCCATGTCCCTTATGAAATTTTCATTTGAATTTATTTACTTTTGGGTGTTTTAGTCATAACTTCAGAGATGAATTTGCCTTTTCTTTTTCCTTTCCTGATTCTAAAATTCTAGTTTCACTTTTTCTCTTTCTTGTCTACTTATGTTTTTTTTTAGTTTTTAAAGTTTTGATGCTACATCTTGTAATTATGCAGTTTTATGGCTTAGGAGAAATCATAAGAGTTCATGTGATCAAGGATGATTTGAGAGTCTTAGAAGGAAAAGGTGACAAGCTCAAGCTAAAAAACAGATTTAAGACCTTACTGGACAATGAGATATTATTGCTGGTAAATATAAAGAAAAAAAATAAACTCTAAATGAACATGTGGCAAAACATGACTGTACTTCCCCAATGCTGTTAATCTTATCCAATGGATTTTTCACCTCAGACAAGGTAGTTTTTGTCTCTAGAAGTTCAGTTTGGTTATACCTTTCATGTCCCTTTGTGAACAAATGTTAAGAGTCACTAAGCTGTAACTAACAGAACTTGTAGTTATAAATAACTAGTTAACGCTGTCATTTTTGGGGCAATTTTAATCAGCTGATTTTTCTCATCATGGGTACATTTTCCTATTGCTTTCCATGTTTGGAAACTTTTGATTGAATGCCAAGCATTGTGATTTCTTGTTGGGTGATGGATATTTTGGTATTTCTATAAATCTTGAGCTTTGTTAGCTGGAATTCAGACTAGTTATCTGGAAACAATTTGGTCTTTTAAGATCTCATAGGCAGGACTGGAACAGTACTTAATCCAACCATTATTAAAGCAAGATACTTCTATATACTCTACCCAATACCCTATGAATCTAGGGTCTCCTAGTCTGGCTGGTGCAAACAGGTACTATACTCAGCCCTGTGTGAGTTTTGGACAATGTCCCCTCTCATCATCTTGGCTGGTTCTCCCCCCAGCCTCCAGTAGTTTCCTTACATGTATGCACTGATCAGTACTCTGCCGAATATTTGAGGGGAGCCCCAACAGACCTCCAGCGTTCTTCCTGTGCAGCTCTCCCTCCCCAGTGCTCTGTCCTGCAAGCTAACGGCCTCAGTCACCCCGGGCTCCCAGTGTCATCTCTTCCCCTCAAGGAGCTGGCCAAGTTCCACCTGGGCTCCCTTCCCTCAGTGGCTACTTACACTCTCCAAAGGCGGTTAGCTGGGGCCATCATAGAACTCCTTCATATGTTTCCTGGGTCTCACGGGTCACTGTCCTTTGCTGCCTAAGGTCCAGGGTCTTAAAAAACCCTCATTTCATATACTTTGTCCTCTTTGGGGCATTGTTTGAAACATGATGGTAAATCTAGTCCCTGTTACTCCATCTTGGCCAGAAGCAGAAGTACCTATCATAGCTTCTGAATATGAACATACATAGAATATAAAGCCACCCTAGGATGAGAAGGACACCTTACCTTATTAACGTGTCATCATCCACAATGACTAACCATGCTATTTTGTCATGGCTGTGATTCAAAAATCTTTCCAAAATGGCAAATGTCTTTCCACAATGACCTAGGAAAGGCAAGAAGAAAACTTACAATGTAATATTTTCTTTAAAATACATCTATAATTTCATCTTAATGTTTTTAGTTTCAAGGTTTGAAAAGTAAACGCTTAACTGTTGACATGCACAGAAATCATTAGAAATTTAAGAAATTAGCCTTTTCTCATTTTCACAGGCCTCATGAACCAGTGTGGGAACCTTAGAAATCATGAAGGCTAAGCCATTTACTTCACACATGGGGAAATAGGAGACCCAGAGATGGGAATAACACAAGGCCACTTAGCTGATCTGAGGCAGAGCTAGGGCTAGTATCTCCACTCCAGACAAAGTAGTAAGGCCTCACAGAAATTATAAAGCCTGAGACCTTTCCTTAGATGTTCTTATTCTGAAGGAACTTTTGTAATTCCAAGCATTACAACTAAAGGGAAACAATGGTACCAAAGCAGGATATTATACCTTTGTTTGTTTACTTTATAAATATTTGCTATATGCCGGATACCATGGCAGGTTTTGCCCAGAAAAGAACAGTGTGGACTAAGAGTTATAGCTCCTGAGATGCCAACAGATAAATGTCACTGCTTTAGTGGAAAATGCCGGGGCCCAAGGTAAGAATAAAATGCGTGGGAAGAAAATTCAAATCAATAAAGAGCAATATACTCCTGATTTCAACAAAATATTTGGTGACACAGAGAGAACAAGCTAATATTAACTAATAGTAAACCACTCAGTTTGACCTTTGTTTTCATTTTTCTTGATCTCTTTGTGTATTTTTAACCATTATCTGAAGGCCATCTCAAATTCCTTTTGGAGGAAGGTAAAATATAAATAGCAATAGTAATGTCAGACTAAAAACTAAGTAAGAAATCGAATAAGAGATATACGAGTAAATGATTTTTAAAGGCAACCTAAACTGAAATCTAAAAAGCAAGCTTACCAAAAAAACCTGAGTCTAAAATCATTTTTCTGAAACAAAGCAACAGACAGACTCCGTAATATATGTAACCTTGTCAGAAGAATTGATAACTAGAGGAATGGCTTATAAGATTCTACTCTGTACATTATCAATCAAGGCATTATGAGAGACATGACCATGAAATAATCCAGATAAATTACTCTATAGAACCAGAAAATCAACTTGCTACTTCTTTTTCTATTCATAAAAGGGCATGGGGAACCGGAAAACTAAAGAAAAGAGTGTGGCAGGAGCACAAGATAAAAATTGAGATGAACAAAGAGCATCTGAAGGTAAAGTGGCCAGATTTCACCTTCCGTTTTTTGAAATAAAAAATGTTTTTAATTTGAAGCCAGAATCTGAAGAAAAAAACAGGTATACTACCAAAAATTACTCAGTAAAATATTAACAAAATACATGAGTATCACAGAGCTTATGCCACACATAACCAGTGTAGAATGTGGTTAAACAGTACTCGACAAGTACATACAAAACAGGAGCTAGACCATAAGCTTCATGAGGATAGAAACCATCGGCTATTTTCCTATTTTCCCCAGCTTCTGGGGCTCCAGTGGCTGGCAAAGAGCAGGCACAAAACAATCCTGGCTGGTTGAACTGCTAAAATTCAATGAGAAGAAGCTCTGTGTGGGAGGATGATAAATTAACTGGAGATACTCCATTATGGCCACAATGAATTATGAAGGCATAAAAAAGTCTGTTAAATAATCCTAATTGTCATGTGTTCAGTCCTATCGATACGGCGTAGCAACTTTCAACCTTTCTTAGTGCTTATAAAGCAGCTCTTAATCTGAGAGAATTGGTCCATATCTATGACAAAGATGTTAGGAGAGAAGGAAGTGAAACTTCATAGTATATATAAGATATTTTATTTTCATCCTAATTTACTATCTTTTCAGAATGGACATTCTGAATAAGAGTAGTGAGAATTAAGGACTCACCTCTATCTGTATTAGGAATCCCCAGATCTACTGTAGGAATAGAACTTTCTGCGTGATCACTGTAGTATTCAATGAGACTTGCCTGTCCCGCCCAGGTCTGCTTTACAATGGGGACTGAAAAAATGAGAGGAGGGACAGTCACTGGCACCATTAGGTCAGGAAGCTTAGAATCTCAGAAGGGCAGCACAATCACCTATAAAGGATGAGAACCATTATTTGTTCTTCTTCAGGTATTCTAATGTGTTTGTTTTTTCTGCCCTGAGAAATGTCAAGTTGTTTGTCAAGGGCAGCACAGGAGTAGAACCCTCTTCTTGAGACATTTTTAGTGGATGTTAGAGCCCAATGCTTCTCATTCCTAGTGATTCCTCATTTCTCAGGTCCATGTCATGATACAGTCTCTAGTCTGATAATAACTCTTGTGTTTACTTCTCCTCTTTTCCCCATAGGCTATTTCATTTAAAATTCACAACTGGATTTTTAAAATGCTTCTCAGAGGGGTAAGATTTAAAATTACCTCTAAGGGATGGGAATATTCTATGTTTCTGGCTGAGATGCAAAGCTCTGTCCCTTACAGTGAGGATAGGAGGCTTCTCAAACTACTACCCTTCCCCACCCAAAGATTCCAACAGAACCAGTCAGTCCTACTGAGGGCATGACCCTGCCACCCAGAGGCACTGCACAGATGGGTGACATTCTTGTGTTGCACTTTTGAAAAATATGGAAGAAGTATTATTGAGAACAACTAGAGTATTTTTTATTTTTATTTTTTTTTAATTTTTGAAACACAGAGAGACAGAGCATGAGTGGGGGAGGGGCAGAGAGAGAGGAAGACACAGAATCCAAAACAGGCTCCAGGCTCCGAGCTGCCCGCAAAGAACGCAATGCGGGGCTCGAACCCACGAACCGTGAGATCATGACCTGAGCTGAAGTCGGATGCTCAATCTACTGAGCCACCCAGGCGCCCCACCACTACAGTACTTTTTACCTCAAACCTTATTAACAGATACATTTTTAATAAAATAAAAATTAAAAAAAAAAACAAAACTTTCCAGGTTTTCTGAAATTTAGAGCTAACTTTAAGCATCTCCTATCTCCACACTTAGAGAATTCTGCCCCATTATGTGATAGGAATTCACTTGGCCAAATATCTAAGTAATCATTTTCTTATATACTTATTTTTTAGTTACTGGCTGTGCATAGCTAAATTTGGAGAAGAGGTTTCTGTTGTTTTAATAGAAAAAAAACCCATCATATCTAGATTTTCAGTCCTGGTAATTTAAGAATCTCTACTCCAAAGAACTTAAATCTTCAGGTCAGTATTTTGAGACTTTCATCAGATCATTTCTCTTTTTCCTTTTTCCCAGCCCAAGTAAAAATGTATGCAAAAACTCCCAATACAATGCCCAATTTAAGTATCTGGCTATGCACGTCAACCACCTCAAACTCAGACAGCCCTCGTATATAAAGTACAAAAGTGCACCATTTTATTCATTGTTCACCAGCTTTTAGGAAAGGAACACCTATAAATTCGGGACATTTGTTATAATCACAAATTACCTATGTTAACCCACTCAATAGCTGTTAGACCTTAAAACGTAATTTTTCTGCAGTCAAAAAGGCAGAGATTTGTTCATGTCAAAATGGACAAAGATGCATAAATAATAGATGACATAATAACAAATGAGTGCATAATAATAGATAAGGCTGCTGGGGCGGGTGGGGGAAAAAAGGGGGGGAAATCCTCTTCTGTTCTACTTTCAAATTCTAGCACAATAAAAATCTTCACCTGGGCCCCTCAGTGGCCGTTTGCTTGGCAGATCACAAGCAGGGGACTTATCCCAGAAAGGGATCCTTGCAGCTTGCAGCCACCAAATTTTCACTCTTGGTAAAATGTCCTCCCTTGCATGAGGTTGGAAGAAGCTGTGAGGAAAGGTCAAGGATTTTCCTCAGTCCCCAGCACTCAGTCCTGCAAGTGGTGCAAAGCCTGCTTTTATGGTCCTCAGCCTCTAGCCCTTGGCTCCTATCTGCTCTAACAGCTTTCTCAAACAGCACAGGCATTTCTTCTCATCTGATTTCAATGCTATTCAAATCAAGAGTGATAGAGTCCGTTGCTGTGCCTAACTGCCTGCTTTCAGGTTTTGTCTGCAACAGCTGAAACAAATTTCACCGAAAGTAAGAATTACTGTAGGGCTCATTCGCCAACACCTAACATGGTGGCCGGGCTATAGTAGGTGCTCAATAAAATGACTGAATTTTGTAGAAGTTCCAACAAAAGGCTATTTTTGGAACTAGTGTAAAGGAAGATTTTATTGATAAGGGCAACCCGTCATTTGGCACAAGAGTGTTGCCATCATTACTAATCGTCTAAAATATACCAGCCATTTTAATATAGTAAGATGTTATGATTCTGTAATCCCAAAAGCTTCCAACAATTTTTATCACCTGTCCCCTGATCATTATCACTCCCTTGGCATTTGTCACATCTGGCAGCTATAAGGAATTTAGAACTAAAGGTAAGTCTTCTGCAACAGCAGGTAAAACCTTTATTTTCAACTAGGGTTGATTCCAAGTTACCTAAAATTTCTCAAATATTGGTCTATTTTATTAGCATTGTTTGAATCCTAAAGTGAATTTGTTCTATTTATTTTGAGGTACAGTATTCCTAAAGATATTAAACTTAGAGAAAATATTTCAATATATGCACATGATCTATTACCTCATTTTCAATACAGAGAATCATACCATCTACCACTTAATAAAACACTAGTGAATGCCTCTTTCATGAAGGCTGACCCCAAGATAACTTAAAATTGGAGCAAAGTAAAACTTTACTATTAAAAAAAAGCCCACTGCACAGATGGCATCAATCTTCCACATGGCTTTACAGACTTGAAGCAGGAGGAGATGCATCTCGCTACAAGGCACAGAACACGCATTTTTACCCCTGGTGAATTTACTTGCAAAACTCTGATTACATGTGAAAATGAACTAGCCACTTAAACACTGTACAAAAACTACCACACAATCACATGTGAATGACTCTTAACTTCAGGAAGTCTGCTGTTTTAAATGGACAAATGGACCTTTTTTTCTCCATATGCACATCCATGACAAAACCCTGGCTGCTCCTCTCTCCTCAGGAGAGGGTTAGAAACACACAGTCCAAAGCTGTGATATAATTCCTGATTTTAAAGATGAGGTCTATGGAAAAGCATGCCTCCTGGCTGATCTAAAACGACATTTTCAGGCAATCTGGAACGTCTCTATCTGTTCAACAGCCAGGGGGAGAGCCAAATGAGGCAACACCTGACTCCAGTCCTCTCTTTAATAATTAACCTCCTCACATCCTTTGACATGGAGTGTAGCCTTCCATCTGGCTGCATTTTAATTCAAGCCTTGTGTTCTATATGAGCAGATTGTACCACAGTACCTGTAAGCCTCTCGAATCAAAGAGAACACACTAGCACACACTTCTCTCAAGAAGTTTGTTCAGATTTGCTTCTTCTAGACAAGATGACTGCAGTAAAGATAACAGGGTGGGTTGGGTTTTTTTTTTTCCCAATCTGAAAGGAATAAAGTGTTTATTTTTAGGTGCTCATGAAGATGTGAAAAGGAATTAAAGGCTGAGCAAATAGCAATTTTACCTCTTTAATCAGAGGAGACTGCAGGAGGAGAGCACCTCACAACCCGCCACTTGAACAAAACAGTGGCTGCCACCAGATTCTTAAGACACGCCAAAGAACATGGCAAAATAGTGCAAAGAAAATTCTTTACATTTTCTGACAGCTCACGTCACACAGTAGAAAACACATAACCCAAGAGGAAGTGAATAAGCATTCAGAATATTAAAACTTCAGAGACCTTTTCCTTGCTTAAGTATAATTTTACAGGCTATGCCTAATTTGCTTTATGTAATACTTGTAAAGTTTCTTTAAAACCCCACTAACTGCTTGCATCTCAAGAGCGTGTTGCTATTTCAATGGTGTCAATATGTATTTCTTTCTTAAGCCAAAAGATAGAATATATTTTTTGCTGTGTCCTAAGAATGCTTTATTTCATTTAAATCAAAATCCAGACAAAGTAGTTACATAAAGGTTTGTTTCACTGTTAGGCAAAAAAGGTACAAGATGTAAAATATTTTTTTTTTAATTTTGGAACCTGCCTTTATGATCAATTCTCCATCGAGAATATGAAAAATGAGTTCAAGGTATATTTTCCCTTGCCTTGACTGGAGCCTTGATAAGAAAGTTCTATCCCTCATACTGGACGTGGCCAACATTATAAGGAGCCAGGGGTGGGGGCATTGCTAGTGTCTTCTGCTGTACCTGGGGGCAGTATACCCACAAGTGAGAACCAGCCAGCAGATACGTCTCTAACAGTATAACCAACTCTCAGTTTTTCAAAGATAAATACACAGTCTTATCTATGCTTTTTCCCCCCTGTCATTTGGTCTTTGTAACTTCACATGTTTTTTTACCACAATGTGCACAGGGAAAGAAAAAAGAAACAAACCCACCCCAGCCCTTGTATTCTGCTTTACTCTAGACTACCACTGCTGTCCAAGCAGCTTGGTTTATCTTTTAGATCATCTGTGGATTTCAATTCCTGGCTATCCCCATTGCTACTGAAAATAAAATGCCTAGTTTCGCACCTTCTGGACAAGTCAGAAATGACCTTGAGCCTAGCAGAATGCCAACATGAATATCAAATACTATTTGTCAAGTGTTAAGACTGTAATACAGCCAAGGAGATTACACTATAGCTGTGCTGTGGCAGAAAAATTTGGGACTTGGAGCCAGAAAACCCAAGTCCCAGCTCTCCTATTCAATAGATTACAAGAAGGTGGGCCAGTCATGTCTTGTCCCACACTCAGCTTTCTCTACACTATCAAAGGAATAAAAACGTTCATTACCACATCATATGGAATTGTCAATATGAAGACAGACGATAGAATGTATGTAAAAAAAACCAAACACATAAATGCAAAAAAGATCAGCAGAAGCAGTTACTATGGTGGTCTCAACGTAACTAATTTGATTACTGAATAATCCTCTAGGCTAATTGGTGGCTAGACTAGCCATCCAAAAGGAGGAGAGGAGCCCAGTAGCCTGGCAGACTCACTTCCATCAGGCAATATGGACATCAAAGTCCCTAAAATCCTGCCGCCTTAGACCATCTTTTCAAACAAACATTCAAGTTTAAACATGGTTTGCCACAGAAGCCCAACTATGAAAGCCAAATACTACCTTTTAAGCTTCAATGACTTCAGATCCAAATTCATACCAGTGAATCAGAGTATCTGGCTTGGGTGGCTTCGGGAGGTTTGGTTTTAAAGCTCCTCACAGGCTTTTAAGACTTGTCATTTTTAAAGATCTTTGATTTAAAATTCAAACATAAAAGCATTTGATGGAGATCTGAAAAGATTATTTCAACCTTATGCCAGTAAGAAAGCAATCAAGTAGATGACTCAAAACTATTAAATTAGCAAACATTTTTTTCATTTATGTAGAATATGAAAAATACAATAGGGATGGTCCCTAATCTTACTGCTTTATCGTCACTGGAAGAGTCTCAAGAGAGAATATACCACCACTACCGGCACCACCATCCTTAACATCAATATGATGAAAATGGTCACTATTCCCAAGTACAGCTTCAAGATCAAATAATATCAATTTGAACACTTCTGATGGCTATTTAAAAAAAAAAAAGCAGTCACCTCATTCATTTCCTTTGATACTTTTGTATATATGTCAAAAATTGTCCCCAAAAGCCCTTCCAGATTTTCAAAAAAGAAAAAAGATATTAAATCTAAATTAAATTTGTGAATAATGAAAATTTTAACACTATATTGATTTTTAATAGTGTTTAGGACTCCTTGTATAATGAGTGCATATATTAGGCTGATTTAATAGGACCTGGCACTTTATGCAACTATTTTAGGAAAACATGAATGTTTACAGTTAGGTACTACTAAAAAACTGTTCATCACAACCAGATTTTAATTGATGTCGATATCTTAAACATTACTTCAATTCCAAATAATAATATTCTTTTATTTGGAAAATGTTCCCCTTTAAAGTGTAATTTGTAAGAATCATATTATCAAATAAATTATATAAATGAACCTCCCCCATAGCTCTAATCCCATGAAAATGCCAGCTGGTTTAGAAATCTCTTCTACATAAATATCGCACTCTTCATGAAATCGACAGTCTTTTCATGGAAAAAAATTAAAATATATGCTAAAATTAGAAAATGCAAAAGACCGTCTAACTTTCAATTTCAAAAAAGTGCAGCTTGAAATAAGGCGCAAAAAGAAAAAAATTATGTCTACTTATATTTAGGGTGGGCTTTTTCTTCTACATTATCACCGTAACTTAGTAGAATTCTGTAATGACACCAAAAACTTGAATAAAAACAACATTCGTCTGCATGCCAAGATTTCCTCAAGAAGGGACCACTGTGTATAAGCCACCTGCTGTCTTTTCCATAACATAATCTTCTTGCGAGCACATGCGTATCTTACTTTGAAAGTTCCAACGTGTGCATCCAACATAATGTAAAAAGAAGGATTAGTCTCCAAGAAAACATCCTGTGTTGGGATTCTCTCACCTTGAAGTCCCCTCTAACTTTCTTCGTACAGTTCAGAGATGGTGCATGGACAAAATAGGACGCTGCTCTGCAAAATGGACTGTTATTCACACATTGTGTCCAAGATTACACAGCTGAGATTTCTCATTTCCAATTTAAAACACTGCTCTGAACCCCATTCAGAAGGGTTAGGGACACTCCTGTTTTGATACAAAATCATCCTTTCTAATTGATCTTGGTGACTGAAGCCGTAGGATGAGGAATAGTAATTAAATTAAATAATTAATTAAATAATTAAATAACTTCAACAATATATGTGTCATTCTCCCTTTCTTCAATTTATATCTGGTCTGTACTTTTTTTTTAAAAGGCAGTTTGGATTTTAAAAGTTCAATAAAAATGAATAAGGCAAAACATACTTCTATCACCATGAAATTTCTTGCATGTTTTGACTGCAAAAAATATATCCTCTTTCTTCACTGGATTTCCCTAAAAGACAAGAAAACATATATGCATACACAAGTCTATATTATAGTAACATCCCCATTCACACCCATGTCAGATCTCACATGCTATAGAGATGAAATTCACCATCATCAAGGATATCAAACCTGCTTCCAGGATTCAGTTTTAGGGGAAAACAAGAACAGTGGTTGAGCTGATAAGGCCTCTGACATCAGCCAGACCTAGGCTTGAATCCCAGCCCTGCCCTATACACGCTGTGTCATCCAGACAACAGTCTTCAGCTCTCAACTTCAGTCGGCTCATTTAGAAAATGGTCAGAATAGCCACCAGTCAGGCTGCTTTTATTACTACATTTATTAAGCACATTATAGCTACCCAATAAATGTTAGTCACCTTCCCTTTCCTCTTCCCAGCTGGTGAAGATTTTAACAAAGGGAGGATGTGTTAGTGTAAAATAGAGCGGACTCCCTTCTGTGGGCTGGTCTTACTTTGATGTATTTTTATGGCCCCTGTATTATCTACCCAAGTCTAGGCTACAGCAACATCCTGTCCTCTGCCAAAGGTAGGATGACTTCAAACACTGGAGCAGGGGAAGGAGGGGCAATAATGGGGCCCTGAGCGGGCCCAGCCCACGCCGACCACTCAAATGAAAGGGAGCACACAGGGAGACTGTGGACAGCCTACCCTCAAGGCCATGGACTGCTTCGTGGGGGTCTTCTGAGCCCTTTATTCTCTGTCTTAGGCCTTTAGTAATATTTAGTCATAACTCAAACATCATTTGAGGGTGGTTTATAGTGACATCTGACCACAGCTTTGTCATGTCACCCAAGGCACTAGGAGGCTGACCCCACCAGATTACTTAGAAGAGCATTAAAGAACAAGCAAACATGTCCAGAAAGACAGATTTTCCCCTCAGGAACTGAGTAAACATTACAGATTCTCTCCCAATATTGCTATGTGTGTGTGTGTGTGTACCTATAGTCATATTTGAAAATGTAACACACAGACTTCCATGTGACTGACTTGGGAAGAACAGACAACATTTGAGGATGATGCACATATTTTCCTTTATGAGGAAGAACTCTTAACAACCTAGTGAATTTTAGGAGTCTTCAGGCTCATCATAGGGACTGACCCAAGGGCATGTCATAACAAGTCAGTTCATTCTGAAAGTTCTGGACAGTCCCAGGTAAGATCAAATCAAGGTCTCCAGCTGAGAGGAGATGGGCTTGAGGAGAAAGCTTAGGTATAACAGGAAATGTTTGAAGTCACCCTTCTAGGAAATGGAATAGATATTCCAGTAGACATGTGCTGTATCATCAAGAGAAATGACGCCAGGCACACTTAAGAGCTGTGGCAGGCAATTCTGCACAAAGACTCCAGAATGAGTTTGTGCTGTCAAAGCCTTCACTCCCCTCCCCCAGATTCACTGTGTGACCTTGAACAAGTACTTCTCAGTACCTTTCTCTTCTCACACTTCTCACAATAGTGTTTACCCTATAGGACTGTTATTAGTAGAAACAGGATATAGAGGTTTTACCTGGCACATAACAAATGTTGAGGTTTTCTCAGTATACAAGTAAAGCGTAGACAACATCATGCACGGCATGCAGATTTCCCTTTGGTATGCAAGAAAGCTTTTCTTCTCTTACTTACACAAAGTGGTAGAAAAGAATGGAATGTGGTAGCACAGTGGGAGTTCCCAGCATCTGTACAAAACTCAGGCACTGGCGTAAGGGGATGCCCATCCCCTTTGTCCCAGATGTAGAGGGCAATCTGTCAGGACAGGAGAGGGCAATAAATAAAGGAACTCAACCACCACCACCACAACTGTTAGAAGGCACGAAATATCCCAAGGGAAAGCAGACCGCGTCTTCTACAGAGTGTTTAGACGGAACCATATCAATCTGTCAATATTCAACAGATTTTTTTTTACCTATAAAAACAGTAATCTCGGGTGGGTCAATCTAATCTTTTCTTGACAAGAATCCATATTCTGACCACCAAACAATTCCAAAGTCATCATAAGCAACTGCAGGGAAGCTGTTTTAGGGTTTCTCAAACAATGCCGTGAAAGATGAAAGAAAATATTACTGGGAGGCTTGTTTTCTGCAGGATGTAAATTATATACCTTGACTAACCAACTCGTTGAAAACATCTAAAACTGTTGGAGAAAATATCTTTAAAATAACTACATGGATTGCTAAATTGCCACAAAAGTATGGAACCTGAGGACAAAAATGCAAAAGGAAGAGCCTGGGGAAAAGGGCAACAAGGGTAATTTTCCTCAGCGGGTGGAGGACTCTGGTAATGGTGTTTCTGGTTGGTAGGAGGAAAATAAAGACTATGACGCACCTGAGGTGGGAGGTACCTAAGAGCAAACCCCACGATAGAGCTAGGACTGTGGAGCTAGATGGAGGGGAAAAATCATCTCCAAATCTCCTTTGAGATTCTGTAATCAAATCCCAAGCCTCCCTAATTTGTGCCTCCAGTGTGCAAATCACTTCAAACAGTAATTTACATCAGCCCCACGTCACTATAATCCTCTTGCAGCAGGAAAAGCAAATGCAAATCCTTCTTGGGGAACCCACACCCTTAATGTAGGACTCAGAGGATTATCACTAATACAGTTCCAACCAAAACGGCTCAGAGAAAGATCACAAAAAGCAAAAAGACATGAGCTGATGATCGAGAGCCAGGAGACAAAACTGAATCAGACCAAAAAGACTCCAGGTCATGGAATTATCAAACACAGATTATAAAATTACTATGTTGAATATATTTTTACAAAGAAGCAAATGCTTTCATGCTTCAGCAAAAACATTGTTTAAAGGTTAATCTAAAATAAGCAAATTTGAGGGATGCCTGGGTGGCTTAGTCGGTTAAGCGTCCGACTTTCGCTTAGGTCATGATCTCGCGGTTCATGGGTTCGAGCCCCGCGTCAGGCTCTGTGCTGACTGCCAGCTCGGAGCCTGGAGCCTGTTTCAGTCTGTGACTCCCTCTCTCTCTGACCCTCCCCTGCTCACGCTGTCTCTCTCTCTCTCTCCTAGAAATAAATAAAACATTTAAAGAAAAATAAAATAAGCAAATTTGAAAAAGAAATGACTAAAACTTTTAAAAATAAAAAACAATTAAAATGAAAAAATGTAATGGTTAGGATAAATAGTACATTAAACACAGGGGAATAAAAATTAGGGAACTATGGGCACCTGGGTGGCTCAGTAAGTTAAGCATATGCCTTTGGCTCAGGTCATGATCTCGCAGCTTGTGGGTTCAGGCCTGGCATCGGGCTCTGTGCTGACAGTGCAGAGCCTGCTTGGGATTCTCTCTCTCCTCTCTCTGCCCCTACCCTGCTTGTGCTTGTTCTCTCAAAATAAATAAATAAACTTAAAAAAATTAGGGAACTAAAAGATGAAGGTCTCCAAATTATCTGAAATAGAACAGCAAAAACAGAGGTGGGAAATGTAAAAGTTCAGAGAGCTAGCACAGATCCAGGAGGAGATAACAGAGAGAATGGGGAAGAGAACAGTTGAAAAGACAATGGCTGAGAGTTTCCAAAATTATGTAAGGGTCAGTGAATCCCAAGCAGGATTTTTTTTTAAAAGTCTACATCTAGACATCTCATAGTGAGACTGCAGAACACCAAAGACAAAGAAAGAAATAATCGTAAAAGCAGGCAAAGAGAATGACGGATTACCTACAAAGACGTCACAGGAGATTGATGTTTATTTTCCACATCAATTACCTCAGCAATAAGAGAAGCCAGAACACAGTGCAGTGACCCCACTGTGATGGGAGAAAATGACAGACAACCTACAACTATAAACACAAGGTAACTATGTTTGAAGAACAAAGCTGACATAAATGTTTTGTTCTTTTGTTGTTGCTGTTGTTGTTTAAGTAGGCTTCACACCCAGTGCGGAGCCCAACCCAGGGTTTGAACTCACGACCTTGGGATCAAGACCTGAGCTGAGGTCAAGAGTAGTATGCCAAATGAACCACCCACGTGCCCCAATATAAATGTTTTTTAAAGAAAAAAAGTTAGAATTTGCTCCCACACTATTGGAAATTCTAAAGGATATGCTTCAGGAAGAGTAAAACTGATCCCAGTAAATACATGGTTAAGCTAATACAAATGTTAACTACATAAAGATAATATTTAAGTTGAGGGGTTAAAAAAATACTAGACAACAAAAAGTATATAAATCATGATGAGGAAAATCAGAGTTCAATTATTCTAAGTCCCTTGAATTTTTTAGGTGATCAATTAACTAGCAATTGTTAAGAACGCATGTTAAAATATTTAAATTAACCAGGAAGGTTTTTGGCAGGGACAAGGTGCCTGGGTGGCCCAGTCGATTAAGCGTCTGACTTCGGCTCAGGTCATGATGCCGCAGTTTGTGGGTTCGAGCCCGCATCAGGCTCTGGGCTGACAGCTCAGAGTCTGGAGCCTGCTTCCAATTCTGTCTCCCTCTCTCTCTACTACTATCCTGCTCATGCTCTGACTCTTTCTGTCTCTCAGAAATAAATAAACATTAAAAAAAGTTTTTTAATTAACCAGTAAGGTACAGATATAGAGACTGAATTTCCAAAACAGCAGAGCAGGGAAAAATGGGAAACGAAAAAACACAAAAATCAATCTATATTGAAAGTAAGGATGTTTTTATTTTTTTTTTTTTTCATTTTTATTTTTAAGAGAGAGAGAGAGCACAATCATCTGAGGGGCAGAGAGAGGGGGACAGAGGATCCAAAGCAGGCTCTGAGCTGACAGCACAGAGTCTGATATGGGGTTTGAACTCACCAACTGTGAGAACATGACCTGAACTGAAGTCAGACACTTAACTGACTGAGCCACCTAGGTGCCCCAGAAAGTAGGGAAGTTTTTAAAAAGAGCCATATAAAATGAGGGGCAAGGGATAAAATGAAGTGTCAGAAATCAATTAAAATATGATGGTAATCATGTTCAGTGTAAATATAAATTTGCTACCCGGTGTAAAGACAAAGATGGGCAAACTGGGAGAAAAAAATAATAATAATTGAAACAGGGTGATTGTCGAAGAGACCACCAAACGCCGAATAGAAGCGAGACAAGGTTTTATTTACGGCGGGGCCAAACCTGATCTCCTGATCTCATGGAGAAATGCAGAGAATGGCCCCGAACAAAGGTGGCAGTGAGCTTGTATGGATCTCAGTAAGGCAGAACGTGTCATGATTTAGTTAACCAATTACATTCCACAGCGTACTATGGTAACCAATTGCATCGTGACACTCAGGTGTTAGTTTTGGCAGAGACCTATCAACTTTAAGTCCTTTGTCTTGAAATGACCAACCGTTATTAGACATTTAAGAAGCCATGGGGTAGTGACTCGTGATAGACTACCAGGGTAGAATGGTGACGTGGTGTTCTGTAACCTTACATACAGGCTGTGGGCGTGGTCAGCCAGAACAGGGAAGTACAAGCTTGCCAAGTGGATTTACAGAAGCAGAAATAGCATGTTAGTATTTAACTGTGCTTGAGGTTAACCTACAACAATAATGTCCTTTTTAAGAGAAGTACACCTATACTGAGCATAGAGCCTACTAAATATTCTCTCTCAGACTCTTGAATGCCGAGAACAAACTGAGGGCTGATGGGGGTGGGGGGGAAAGGAAGGGGAGGTGATGGGCATAGAGGAGGGCACTTGTGGGGATGAGCACTGGGTGTTATATGGAAACCAACTTGACAATAAACTATTTAAAAAAAAAAGAAAAAGAAATTTCCACCCAAAAAATAGGAATTAGAAATTGAAATAAATAAAAACAGCTCTGTTTAAAAAAAAAAAAAAAGATTCTCTCTCTCTCCCTCTGCCCCTTTTCAGCTCACATGCAGACATGCTCTCTCTCACTCTCTGTCTCTCTCTCAATCAATGAGTAAGGGCACAAAGGGGTTATAAGAAAAAGATGAGAGAGACGGGGCACCTGAGTGGCTCAGTCGGTTAAACGTCTGACTTCAGCTCAGGTCATGATCTCATGGTTCATGGGTTTGAGCCTTGCATTGGGCTCTGTGCTGACAGCTCAGAGCCTGGAGCCTGTTTCAGATTCTGTGTCTCCCTCTCTTTCTGACCCTCCCCTGCTCACACTGTCTCTCTCAGAAATAAATTTTTTAAAAAAATTAAAAAATTTTAAGAAAAAGATGAGGGAGAATTATGAAGCGAACACCAAAAGAAAGGTGGTAAAGAAATATTCATAACATTAAATACACATTTAATACACATTAGGGCAAAGAGCATCACAAGAAATAAAGATAAATTCCTAAGAAGACATAATGATTGTGAACTTGTAAGCATTTAGTTAACAGAGTCTCAGAGTATAACAGGCAAGAGCTGGCAGTTACAAGAGGAGACACTGTCAAATCCACATTATTATGGAAGATTTTCCCCTTCCTCCCTTAATAAATGATAGATCAAGCAGACAAAAGTAGATGGGAGAAAAGGGGGAAGGGAGGAAGATTAACCTATTAGATTAAATCTACTTCTCCTTTAACCTAATAAAGAGAATATTATACCCCCAAATTATAGCATATACATCTTTTACCCCATTTATGAAAAGTAAACATGAGCCAGGCCATAAAGCAAACCGGAAAATATTTCTATAGACTATAATGCTAAGTTAGAAATCAATAACAAAACACAGTAACAACACACACTGATATGTCGGGTCACAATGGAAAATGTATTTTTTTAAAGTGGGTCACAGTCAAAAAAAATAGTTTAAAGGCCTCTGCCTTGGGAAAACTCCCACAGATGATCATCATGACACATGTCAAAAATACTCATAGAAGTGATGATTATAACAGCAGAAAAGCCATGACAATCCAGAAGCCCAGCACCAGGAGAATGGGTAAGTAACCTGATACTCCTGCAGGAAGTGAAAATAAGTTCATTAGAGTTGCACATGGCCACATGGATAAGCTTCAAGTTAAAACAATACTCATGGTACAACTCTGTTTATATGAAGTCCAGAAGGACACAAAACTGCATACAATGGGGGTGCCTGGGTGGCTCAGTTGGTTAGGTGTCGACTTCAGCTCAGGTCATGATATCACAGTTCATGGGCTCAAGCCCCACGTCGGGCTCTGTGCTGACAGCTCAGAGCCTGGAGCCTGCTTTGGATTCTGTGTCTCCCTCTCTCTCTGCCCCTCCCCTGTTCACACTCTCTCTCAAAAATAACTATTTTTTAAAAACTGCATAATAAAGGGGCACCTGGGTGGCTCAGTCGGTTAAGCATCCGACTTCGGCTCAGGTCATGATCTCACGGTTTGTGGGTTCGAGCCCTGCATTGGGCTCTGTGCTGACATCTAGCTTAGAGCCTGGAGCCTGCTTCAGATTCTGTATCTCGCTCTCTCTCTGACCCTCCCCTGTTCATGCTCGCTCTCACTCGCTCTCTCTCTCTCTCTCAAAAATAAAAACATTTAAAAAAATAAATAAATAAAAAAAATAAAAACTGCATAATATGTTATTTGGAGATGCAGTCATATGATGTAAACTTATGAAGAAAAGTTTATGATGTAAACATATGAAGAAAAGGAATAGAGAATTCAAAGGAAGCATTTACTAGTGAGAATGAAGGGGATACAGGAAAGTCCCATTCAGGTGGTCTCAAATCCACTTATGATGGTCTAGCTCTTACGCAGGTGGTGGTGGGTTTTTAGCTATTGTGACTGATCGTCACACCTTTCACATCGGTTCTAAATATTTTCTGTGTGTATTTAATTTTTAATAGATTCCTGAACCTGGGTATCTATACCAAAGCTGACATTTCATTAAAAATATCGAGGTAGGCCTGCACTTTTGATTAGTCATTCTTTCCTTTCTGTGGAAGAGAAGAATGACTTTTTACATGTATATTTCTCTTCAAATAGGCTATTTCATCACCTTCAAGCACCTAAGAAGGCAAGGTCTTGTGAGAGCCCTTATTTGCTTCTGGCAGCCGGCCAGCACTGCATGTCCAGACTGACTGCACTGTCCTAAGATATAGATTCCTGCAGAGTGAAAGGGAGGCCGTTTTAAGCAGTGAGATGCACCTGTGAATGAAACCCACAAAGAAACCTTCTTAACAAGGATTCAGGGATGATTAATGATGGGACACCTGCCTCTGGGATGACTGGTCACAGATGTCCACTAGACACCAGGGATGGTGGGGTCCCAGCTGGAATGCCACAGCCACCTGCTTGGGACCAACTGGCTCGATTCTGCCCCAGAGGGCCAAGCACAGAGATATGACCCACGCATATGTACCACCAAAGCACCCAAGAAGAACAATGTTACTTTCATGACATTTGTGCCTGTTGTTAGGCATCCACCTCTGCCCTCACCTGCCTAGCTGTAACAAAAAAAAAAAAAAAAATCAAGAATCACAGATGCAACCTTTTCCACTGTTCCTTCTCCACCCACATGATGAAAGTGAGTTTAAAGACAAAGACCTAATTTGCTGGAGAAGAATTACCTTGGTAGGGAGAAAATGTACTTTGGGAAGGGATGCACTGTTAGGGAATGAAAAACACCTTTTATATCAAAACACGTGAATTCTCAATTACTACAACTTTTAAAAAAGAAAACAAGACGTACCTCGTGTTTTAAATCTATTGTAAAGTCGGATTTCAGAGATTCACTCCTTAACCTCTTGGTAAGCCTAGAAAATAGGTACAATTTGAGGTTTGTTTGGGGTTTTTTTAATCAGAAGAACCATCAACAAGAATAACACATTCTTGAGACCTTCTAATGTTTGAAAATAGATAAAAGCACACACTGTAACATAAAATTAAAAGAGTTTCACATTTCCTTGAGGCAAAGCACTTGTGAAAATGGAATTATTTGTTGGCCAGGAAATGAATGCAAGCAAGGAGCTTGCAAATGGAACATTCATTGTTACAACATCTGGCCAATAATGTAAAATACAATACCATAAACTAAATGCCTTAAAAACAAAGCCACAAAGTTTGTTGACTCCTGATAATCTTTACACCAAATACCAACAGAGTAGAAGACAAAGAAAAGACTTGCATGACAGAAACAAAAGTTGCTACTTTTCCGTCTCCTTCTTTTAATAACCCAAAGAACTACAGTTTGTGGAGTTTTAGGGGGAGTGAGAATGTGGTTTCAGGAAAGAAAAAAACCCCAAAACACTTCAAATCCTTTTCTTGCTTAAAGAAGTGTTCAGTGGCTCCTTTCAGTGCAGAGGAGAGCATCACCATTGCACAGCTTCTCGGCACTGACCCACTGTGCCCACAGCACACACCTGCCCCTCTTCTCTCCTGCCCAACATCTGCCTAGCACTCCCATGCCCCAACCTGACCTGGCAAACCTTTCTTCAAGATCAAGCCCAAGGGCACTTTCTCCAGACGTTTGCCAGACTTGCCCAGCAGCACAAATGGAAACTTCCTTTGCTCCCAGGACAGGAAGGAAGCTCTATTAGTTTTATCATGTGTGCTACATCCTGTTGTGTAGGAGTCCCCTTCCGTGCTATGGCTTCTTGTGTCACCTGCACCGCCCGCCCACCGTGCCTGGCCAGAAGGAGCATCAGTGAGCTGCCTGAATGGATGAAGGCAAGATATGCTTTGATTGCAAACTCAGTGAGGTAGAATTACGTGCTTACCCAGACCACTGAAATACATACGGTTCCATATATGTGACAGGGCTAGAGACTAGACCATCAGTTTCTATTACAACCCCTCCAACACATATTTTAACTGTAGGGAAATAATAGTGATTTTTAAAGGAAAAGTAATAATAAGTGTCAAAAGTCTTTACTGAGTTTTCAGCCTCATTGAACCACAAAGAGTTCTGTAGAAATTTCCTTCTAATTAGAGGAAAGATAAAGAAGGACACAGGTTATAATTTATGGATAGTATTAAAGCATTTGTCTCAGGGTAGATAGGAATGCAGCTCGGCGGCAGGCAGCTCCAAAGGCAGCCCACGGAATCTCAGTCACGTTCCTGCGCAGTTCCTGCCCACAGACTTGTCAGCAGGAGTGGGTGAGGACACGCACAGAGACAGCATTCTCAGATACGCTCCCAATAGACAGTAGGAGAAAAAAACCTGCCCCAGCATCGAATCTTTTGATTCGATCAGTTTGATTTCTGCTCAGTTCGAGCCAGTTTTTAACTTTGGAATCTGGACTCTTGCCAAGTGCCTCTGAAATCTGATCAGATCACATTCAGACTCTGAGGACAGAAAAAGTCATACTTGGGCTTCCTGCCACAGGCAAGGGACACAGAATTGTGATGGGAACCAAATGGCATGTGATATCCACTGTGAGATGGCCATGCATGACATGCCACTTCTTACTAGACAATAAATACCTCCAACTTGTTGCCCTCAACATGTTTTCTACTCTTTTGACTTTTTAAGTTTCTTTGTCCTTTCATTCTTGAAAATTTGTGTTTGAGGGGAAATCTCAGACAGGCAAAACTTGAAGACCACTGACAGAATTTCTTTAAGATGGACACTGAGCAATTTGAGGACAAACAGACATGTATACTGACATTTTTAAAGTTTTTTTGTTTATTTATTTATTATGAGAGAGAGAGAGAGAGAGAGAACGAGCAGGGGAGGGGAGGGGGTGGGAGAAGAGAGAATCTCAAGCAGGCTCTTGCAATGACGAGATTGTGACCTAAGTCAAAACCAAGAGTTGGATGCTCAACTTACTGAGCCACCCAGGTGCCTTGGATACTGACAGTGTTAAGGCCATGTCTAGCAGCCCATGGAGTCTACCATCACCCTGAGTGAGGGTTATTTCAACATCACAAACTTCATGTCAACGGGTCAGCCTCACTGACACCCTGAGCCTAAGTCAGTCACCTTGAAAATGTGGTCAAGTTCTAAAAGTGTGCAGGGCATTCACCTAATTTAAAAGGCAAGTCCTAAAAGTGGGAACTAGGTTTCCCTTTTCTATACAACAAGACAGCACAAGGGTATTTCAAATGCTAATTTCAGTAAGCAACAATGCCAGAAAAAACAATTAAGGGCAGAAATTACAATTACTTAGATAAAATATTTCCTCATTAAATATTCAGTTCCTGGAAAATATGACATTTGATATTCAGCTTGCCTATTTTTAGAAGGCATTAAGTCATGTCCCAATAATACAGCCTAAGGACACAACCAGCTAGACTGGAAACTAGCAACAGACAGAGGGCCTCTTCACCTCCATATTAGGAAAAGTTCCTAGCTGACTTTTACAGTCCCATTCATGAGCTAGTCAAAAGAGCAAACTATTGAAAGAAATCTAGGTAAGTTTTACCAGTGGAAAAACAAGAGATAAAACCAGTAACATTGTTCTGTTTGAAGAGGTCATCTTATTGTAAATGTCTCCAAAAACGCAAGTACTTTTTTATTGACACTATTGTTAGAAGATCACACAGAAGGATCACCAGGAAATGTTAGGCAGTGTTAATCCCAAACTCACTAATGTGGGATTGCTAGGACAAATGTTTTTGGTGAGAAATAGTCTAAAAAAGTGTGTGTCATAAAATGTTTTTAAGTAACCAGTTTTTCTGATGACTTGAGCAGGAGAAATACTTAAGTAACTATACACAGTTGCCCTACCTACCGAGAGGGCCATAAAGTCAAGAAAAGGAGACAAAGCGTGGGGGCGGGGTGGGGGGGGCGAGGGGGCAGGTACCTGGCAGTCAGTTCAGTCAGTTAAGCATCTGACTTCAGCTCAGGTCATGATCTCGCGGTTCGTGGGTTCCAGCCCTGTGTCGTCTTTGTGCAGACAGCTCAGAACCTGGATCCTGCTTCAGATTCTGTGTCTGCCTCTCTCCTGCTCTACTCTTTCTCTCTCTCAAAAATAAATAAACCTTAAAAATTAAAATAAAATTTTAAAAAGAAGACTCCTGTATGGGGCACTATTGATTGCCTACACAATACAGGAGCTTCCTCTTCCTTCTTCTTAAGACACTTCTAATTTTGATTAAATTATTGAGCCCTATAAATGGGCTCCAGGGTCAGAATTAGTTTGATCCCAACCAAAGCACTGAAATTCCCTGAAACCGTTAATGGTCCAGGAGTTGGTACATGCCTCAAGTTGACCCAACCAACTCTAACTTCAAGCAGACGAGATCCAACTAGAGACTGAAGATATGCACTTACATTCCATGGTTAGAGAGTTTCTTCACTGCTGAACACAAAACTATATATATAGAAAGCCCTTTTTGCATTGAGTCAACAAAGGGAACCAGATTTAGGATGAACTGATGATGTATGTAGTTTCAGGATTCTGTGTACTAAGCTTGAGAGAGACCAAACCAGTGTCCTCAATAACAGGGCTGAACTCCTACATCAGCCAACACAGACCTCACCTTCCAGTTGCAGTAATAATATTTTCTTACTCCAGCATGCTAACTCATATAGTTTCTAATAACAGGGGGAAAATGCACATTAGCTTTGGAACTGGGAAAAACCAACTGGCAAGATCCAATTTCGCATCCAATAGGGCTAGTTGATGCTTTATGCCTCTTTTAGTTCTAAGTATAATACCAATTTCTTAGAGAATGTATAGAATCTCCTATGAGAACACCATTTCTAAATGGATCTTGGCCACAAGATAGTACTATGCTAGATGGGTTACATTATTTTATTTCTTTGATTACTTGCTTGCATCACAAGGAAAAGGAAGTATGGTATAAGATACCATTATGGTAGAGTCTCTACAGTTTTATTTTGTTTTGTCTTTGCTGGCAGGGGAAAGGGAGGGGAGGCACACACTGAAGACCATGGATGCTAATTAACTACAAACATTGTGCAGCTCATTGTCAATCATTCAGTGTTGTGAAAGCAGGTGACACTGAATGCAGACAGTTAACTGGTGCCTTATTCCTCTGTCGTGCCAGAGTTATGGGGGAAGTGCTGGAAATTTCCTGAACTTGTACAAAAGATCAGTCTTTTGGCCCCCAATTCCTTTAGCCGTAGTTCCTTATATACCCCATTGCAGTGGCACGAGGCCCTCGCTACTCAGAGTAAGCTGGCACTTGTCAACAAATAAAACATCTGGGACTTTGTAAAGATGACAAGAAGAGAAGCATGTGCCAGTGGGACCATCTCTACAGGATACCAGGTCACCCATGACACAGTATCCCTCTAATAAGATCAGTATCTTGGCTAGTGCAGAACCTGGAGCAATGGTTCGCAAAGGCCCCAGCAGTGAGTCACATGGTTAATATGACGTAGTCAGAGCCATCAGAACCTGCCAGGACACCAGCTACCCCTACAGCTTGTAAGCAGTGAAGCCAGAGGGCAGAATTGATAGACCCCAGAGGTTTTGTAGAACAGGTTATGCTTTACTGCCTGCATGGCAAGCAATGAGTTGGGCTAAACTGTCCTTGAAGAGAATTCTCGGGGTCAAAGACATGCACAGCACTTACTTTCATCCATGTAGTTTAAAAGTAAGTCAAAAAGAAAGCAATACTTGACAGTTAGTTATTACACTTAACTCAGGAAAAGGTGAATTGCGTTCTGTATCAAGGCACCACCAAGATCTCTGCTAGATGGGGGATGGAGAGAAGTGAAATCCTATATAAACTACCAGATCTGCTTCCCGGATGAGTGGCATCTTGGATCAGAAGGGAGAGATGAGGAGAGGGAGAGATGGTTACATCCTGAGCTTGCTGCACAGGCCTCCAGTTTTTCTTAAGCCATCGGAGAAAAAGGCAGCGTCTGTGCTCAGAACAGCGCGCTGCACAGGACAGGGTACAGCTGCACTTATCCCTCTCTCGGGAGACTTGGTTCTCCAGGAAACAGAAGACAAATAGACTGAGGAAGAGCTTTTAACTCTCAAGTCAGAGAAACCATAGCCACCAAAAGGCAGCCCCCATAATTCCAGGCTCTGAAGCCAAGTCCAGAGGGTGAGGGCAGACCAGAGGAAGGCTATGCCAGGGCAACGAATGCCGCTCACAGCTCTGCAGAGTCCAGACAGAACAGAGGGGGCGAACAGGGCTGCAGGACACAGTGGGAGGCAGTGTCCCAGGAGCTCCTGCTCTTCAGCTACAGCAAATCCAAGCTTAACTAATTTGAGAATAAAGATGACCTGGGGCCACTGAAACAGAATATTTCCCCCTCACCCCTGCAGAGAGCCGACCCAGGCAAACCAGCACAGGGTGGGAAGGAAAGGACAACTCTCTCTTCTCGTTGCCCCTCCCCTCCTGCCCAGCCCCTCTAAGAACGGGGCAGGGAAAATGTATGAGCCCTCCTAGGCATGCCTGGCACAGGCTGGGAGCAGGGCGTCCTTGCCCAGTAGTCTTGGGATGGGTCTGGGGAGCACCCATTTTAGTCAGAGATAACAAAATCCACTCTGGCCAGTGTAGACACAAAGTACACTTATTAGTGCATAGAGTTGGCTGACAATTACTGGACAGTCTGAATAGAGAGACTCTAGGCTGAGATTCCAAGAACAACCTCCAGATTTATACTACAGAAACAGGTCATCAAGGAGCTGTGGCCTCTGCCACCAGGAAGCTGCTATATCACAAAGCTACTGTCTCAGCTGCCAGCCTTCAAGCCTCCTCTATCATGATGTCTCAAGTCAAATGGACCATCATATACCGTCTCCTTCCCCGTATAAATGAGTGCATCTGCCTAATGGAGCCTACCTCACTTGGCTGCTCTCTAGCAGCAAAAAAGTCTACACGACATGGAAGTTTGGTACTATCCTTTTCTGGATTCTACACTGGGAAGGAGGATCTTCCACTGTAAATAAAATACTTTCAAATGTCAAGGGAGTAGTCAACAAGTGTTGGCCAGCCACAAATGAGAAGGTACCACCACCGTGTTTACCTAGCCCACATCCACAACAGGCTCAAAGGTTTTCGGAGACTCTTAACCCTAGAAACAACATGCCCAATGTAAGAAATAACAGAAACCCCACTATCTTTGAAGATATAAAGGCCACAACCACTTTATCAATTTTCTCTTCCCTTAAGAACAAAAACATATAATAATTAATCTGAAGCATTCAAATTAAAAGCCTGTCAACAATCATAGTTCTCCTAAATTACAACTTAATTATCTTTTCTTTTCACATTGAGAAAAGCATTATTGTGATTATACACACAAAGATCTAGGCCTGAATAGCTACAGAGCCTCTGATTAAGTGTCCCTTTTGCCTGGTCTATGTTTAAATGTGTATACCCATGCACATAATTTGTCATCAGCTCCCACCCCCGGGCATATTACTGATTCATTTTCTTACTGACAATCAAAACCCTATGTGTAGCTAACTAGATCCATTAATAAAAGTAATAACCCTTCTGGGTGTAGAGTTCTCAGAATACTTATGTGCCCTCCCTTGGTCCCACAATTTATTATTCACCTTATTTTGCAGGTGAGGAAGAGGAAATCAGGAAGGGGTGAGTACTCAGTCTGAGGGGACTAGTAAGTGACAGAGACAGAGCAGAAGCAAGAACCTCAAGGTCCCGAAGGCTCCAGGTCTTCCTGCCCCACCACACACTGCCTCGGGCTGCAAAACTCACTTGAGATCCATCAGTTACAATACTCAGTGAAACAGAAGTTGATTCGCGCGCGCGCGCACACACACACACACACGCGCACACACACACACACACACACACAAAATCTAATAAATTCTTACTTGTTTACAAGTGGAATACTAAGAGCCCAGCCAGCAGCAAAGTCTGGATATTTAAAAGTGGTAGGATTCTCAGAAAAGGCATAATGGTGAATTATTGTAGATTCTTCATCATGTAATGCTTTTCCTAAAAACCATTCCTGTCAAATAAAGATAGAAGATGTCATTTTCTTAAAAAGCCATTTCATATAGGACCAAAAACAAAGTCATATCATTAATTTTAGTTAATTAAATACTCTGGGTGATAGAGAATTAGCACAAATTATTACTCTCAAAAGCATTTTAACAAAACTGCAATACTCTATGATAAGGAAGATGGCCTAATCTTCACAGAGAGTAGCTTCGTATATTAACAGGATCAATGAAATGTTAGTCATCTTTATGCCATAAACATATAAATAGTGGTATTTCATAGAAAAGTCCACATCAAAATACTATTAAGGCAAAGAAAACAGTGTTCCTTTATGCCACACTGAGGTCTGCAAAGGAGGATCTGAAGAATTCCTTCCAGAATCAGTGCCTTTATTATTCATTTATTCATTTGTTCAGTTAACATTTAACATTTATTCCACATCACGTGGGTATGCAGCTTACACGAATAGTGGGGACACAGAAAATAAGTAAATAAAGCAGGTTCAGGTGGTGACTGCGATGTGCTATGGTGAAAACCGAGTACCCAGGGACTTCCCTGCAAAGAAAGGAAAACTTCTCCTGGGCTAACATCTGAACTGAGAGTAAATAATGCCAAGGGGCCAGCTACGCACAAACCCAGGGGAGAGCCCTCAAGGCAGTTAATACACAGTCCCACAGTGAGAACAAGCTTGATACATTAGTTAAAAAAGGAAGTGCAATGTGGCAGGAATATAGCCCACTATATATCAAGGGACAGCCGAGGGTGGAAAGCAGCACAGACTTTACTCAAAGTGCAGTAGAAGACTTGAACTTTTGGCCACAAGAGAACAGCCTGGATCAGACCTGCTCTCCCACTGAGAGCAAATAGTAAAGCTGAAGAAAATACTTAAACCACATAATTGAGGGCATCAGAAAACAAAGACAGACAGTAGATGAGGGCAAATATCTGAGAGAGAAGGGAGGCCAATCCATGGGAACCTCAGACTCGATGGGATATGCCAACATGGGGTTGAGGGAAAAAGAGGACACAGTCGTGAGTCCTAGGTTTTTTTTTATAAGAGCCACCTGGATAGACCATGATGCTATTTCTGAGGTGAGGGAGACTGATGGTGGGAGAGGTTTAGAAGGGGCATTAAGAGGTCATGGGGCGCCTGGGTGGCTCAGTCATTTGAGCGTCCGACTTCGGCTCCGGTCATGATTTTGCAGTTCCTGGGTTCAAGCCCCATGTCAGGCTCTGTGCTGACAGCCAGCTCAGAGCCTGGAGCCTGTTTCAGATTCTGTGTCTCACTCTCTCTCTGACCCTCCCCTGCTCACGCTGTCTTTCTCTCTCTCTCAGAAATAAATAAAACATTTAAAAAAAGTAAAAAAAAAAGAGTTCAGTTTTGCACATGTTGAATTTGAGGTTCCGATTAGGTTAGTGGAGGTATGAGGAGACAGGCTGACACAGAAGCAGGGATCACATGGCTCACCCCTGGGTTCCTTGACACACTGTTCAAAGGTGACCTCATCAGCACGTACTCCCTGAACATCCTTTGTCGAATAGTCAGCCTACCCCCGATCTATCCCTTATCCCTCTCATCTTGCCTCTTTTTCTCCTCAGTTCTTACTACCATCTGACATGTTTGCATCTTCACTCCTTGCCTATCTCCCCTGCCACAAGGCTACCCCCATCCTTGGAGACACAGAAGCTGTCCAGTTTGCTCACTGCTGTGTCTCCACAGGAACACCTAACATGTACTAGGTGCTCACGAGTTTTTGTTAAATGAATGGAGCAAGCCCAAGAAAGCTTCCAAAGGCAACTACCCTGTTAAAGAAGCGAAAGTACTTTAAACCAAGCACCCTAAGTTCTAAAAGCTTTGCATGATTTCTGGATTTCAACCATCACCACCTCACTCTTGTCTCCTTATCAGAAAACAAGAGCAGGAGGGACACAGGATTGTTTCTTCTGCGTGTGGTTGTGTCCCCAGTACCTCCCAGGCTCTTGGTTTTGGTCAATTCAGCAACAGGTCGTAACGGAACACGTGCAAGCCATCAACATAACTGTGTGTGTAGGTCACCGACCACGTCCTGATCTTCTCCTGATGCTTTATGGGGATTTTAAGTCATCACTGGGCCAGAAGAACAAGGCAAATGACTTTGGCTTAAGATAGAAAATTCAAGATCTTTTTTAAAAAAATCAATACTATAGCACTTTGTAAAATTGCTAAACGTTACCCCACGTGAAAATCATCACATTTAACATACCATGCCAATATAGCTTGCTTAAAGAAAATAAAACACTCCAGATTTTCAGCACCTTTCTCACAAACTCTTCACTGTTATAATCTCCTGCTGCAAATATAATTTTATGCAGAACACGTTTCTATGGTATAACTCCAAATGGCAGTGTCCAGCTATTATCTAGTATAGAAGATTGCTTTCCAATACTGGGGAAGGGAGGGGTTACTGTAAACTAATTGAAGGGAGAAATTAATATAGCATCTGTGGAAAGGGCACTTCCCCATCCTTCTTAATGATTTTCTTAATAACTTCATAAGAAAGACAATTATAATCAAGATAAACTGTAAAAGAATAACTCAGACAATGTTCTATCAGTATCTCAGGATTACTCTTTATCAGCACCTTTGTTTCACCTCCATTAAAAAAGAAGTCAAGACATTTCAGCAAATGCATGTATTAAAAGCATACGGCAGGAAAAAACGAAAGACTCCAGCAAGACATGGAAATTTATAGAAATCACCTAGAAAAGCAATTTAACAAAGATTAATTACTTTAATAAAGATTAAAATGCCTCATTTAAAATACTGTATAACAGTATAAATTTGCATAAGAATGACAGAAAGATATGGAAGGGAAAAACATCAGAATCTAAAAAAAATGACTGATGCTCTAACACGCTAATTATTTTAATAGAGTTTATTTGTGTCACTAGCAAAGCCAGGCTGGTTTTATACCTTTGTTTCTAAAATTTCAAATGGGGGGGGGAGCACACTGATCTGAGCTAACTTACATATTATGTAATCTGTATTTCCTAATGCTAGTTTCAAAAGAAATAAAACATCCTAGATTTTTTTTTTTTAAGGCTGAGTTGAGAAGAGACGGGGAAAACATCTCATTTTGCCTCTGTTCTGTACTTGCTTTTCATGAACTTGCTTTGAACTTTTAAATTTATCATTCCAATTTTCATTAAAAAGCACAGTGAGTCACCATCTTCTGCACAGAATTAGAGCTATGGATAATGGAAAAATAATCTCCAGGTGAAACGAACGCTAGGAGGAGACTAAAACTCCTACATCCTAAAAAAACATTTGGAAGTTTGTCTCAAGTCAAAAGGAAACATAACAGCCTAACAAACGTTTTACACGAAACATGGCCAAAGTACATAGATGCTGGTTGGCCTCCTCTGAAAAGACGGGATGAGACACATTCATGATTCTTCTCTCCTTTGAAGGATTTTTCTTTTTAACCTAACAACCTTCTCCTTCAATTACATCTGTATCTTCCCAGAAAGCAAAAGCATAAAAAAGAAACCATAATGGACCCTTGTGGCTTTTATTTTATTTTTTTTTAAATGTTTTATTTATTTCTAGGAGAGAGAGAGAGACAGCGTGAGCAAGGGAGGGTCAGAGAGAGAGGGAGTCACAGACTGAAACAGGCTCCAGGCTCTGAGCTGGCAATCAGCACAGAGCCCGACGCGGGGCTCGAACCCACGAACCGCAAGATCATGACCTAAGCGAAAGTTGGACGCTTAACCGACTAAGCCACCCAGGCGCCCCCCCCCCCTTGTGGCTTTTAAAGAACATCGAAACCGGTGGTTCTGTTAAGGTCACAAGCTCTCCTGTGTTCGAGAAGGGTCACTGTTACCCAGCATTATTCGTCTACATCAACAAACCAAGCAGACACCCCAGAAGCCACTCTTCCTTCCCCACACTCTCATTAAACCTGGCTTAGTTCTAGAATAGGCACCAGAAGGGGGGTGGGGCAGGCGTCCAGTGGTACCTGAAAGGGCCCACTCCTGCTTATTCCAAGTTTAAAGGATCCCATGTAGTGATCAGGGTATAACCCAGGCTTCTTTCACAGAACTGCAGAGCCTTGACTTATCTCCACGGCATCCTCCTGGCCACAACGTGGCCCATCAGGAAAGTTGACATTACAGGGTTATTCAGCCATTCACAAATACTCACTGACAACCCATGATGTGTCAAACCCTCTGCTCAATGCTAGCAACTTAGAAATAAACAAGATCCAATTGCTACATCGTATCTGCCCAGAATAAAACAAAATCTGAATATAGGAAAGATAAGGGTATAGAAAGTTAGAAAGTTGAACTTCTAACCCAAGATGCACCCCTTACCACCTTACCTTCTCAACTTGTGTTCCCTCTGCTTAAAACACACATACTCTCTCTCTCCTATTAACTCTTACTCATCCTACAGGACTCAGATTAAAGTTCACCTCCTGTAGTGACCCTTCCAGATTAGGTTGGGTGCCCTGCTCTGTGCTTCTAACAGCACTCTATGTTTCCCTGACTAGAAGCCATCTATCTCCCTTTTCATTGCTTCTTTAATGGGCTTGTTTGCTCCCTGTCATCAGGATGGATATCTGTCTGTCCCAGTCCCTGCTGTCACAGTGCTTGATACATAGTTGGCAACCAAGAAATACTTCCCATCTAAAAGAATATGTGGTCATTTCTGACAAAGAGAAATACACGATTTAAACTTATTCCTTAACTCTGGGTTATAGCTTTTTAACTCTATGAAATTGCTAACACATATAAATAGATTTATTTCATTTAAAAATGGCTCTTTATAAGTTCTATCCCTCTGAAAGCTACAGAAACCTCCAGAAGAATGATTCAGCATTGCTTCTAGATATTCAACTATTATTTCATTCTTTCTAAAGTGTTTTTATTAGATTGGCAAACCTCTTAAAATCAAATCTTCTCTTAAGCGTTCCCTTAAGCATTCCTTCCGACAGATAAATACTGGTATTGAAACTGTATTCACCTTGGATGGGTCATATCTTCTGAGTGTTTCTAAGAGTTCTGGAATTTGTATTCTTGTCTCTTCTTCACAGAAGAAAATCCATGATGAATTTCTGCTATACGTTACAGAAAAGCTGACAAAGATAAACAAGTTATGGTAATCACTTCTATAAAATGAGTTTATAACAAAGTTTAAAACTGATAAGCAGGATGAAAGACATAAAATGGCAAGAAATCTAGATTTTCTCCCTATATTTTCCTTCAAAGCATAGTTTCAAAAGCCAGATACTAATAGTTTAGCAAACAGCTAGAGTTCTTAAAGTTAATTCTCTCTGTAACACCACAATTTTCAAATACAAATATTAAATATATCAACATTTTATTTTTTAAGAAAGCAACATATTTAAAAATAGAAGCCATTCATGATTAAAAGAATCAAGAAATTTGGGTAATGTAGCAGTCATAAAAAAACGGAGTCCAAATTTTCTTTAACTTCTTGACTCTGAAGAAAAACACACCCTCTCAGTGAGAGGAGTGAGTGTGTAGGTGGAAATGTCCAAATTCACACATTTCAAATTTCAAATTAAACATACTGTGGTAGCAATGGAAGTATGGTCCATGCACCCTCCTGCTTAGACAGCTGATGAAGAAGAAGGACTCTGGGGAGCTCCTGAAGAAACATTATCAAGAGGAGAAATAAATAAAAATATGATATGATCACTCTGATTAAACAACAACAACTCAATTTCTACATGCAGGTATCTTTGGAGACCTGACATTTTCTCTCCTAACTACTCTGTTTTCTCCTCTTCAGGAGCTACTAGAAATGAAGGATGTTGGCTGGATCCACAAGACATCTTTATCATCCAGGCATACAACTGGGCTGAGGGACTCCAAGAAGGGTCTTCCCTGGTACCCGACCTGACCTGAAATCTGCAGACTTGCAAAGGCAACTGGAAAGGAAGAGCCCAGAAGCGACCAGGCATAACTCAGAGGCACAAAAAGATACTTCACAGTACAGACATCACAGGAAGCAGATGGAAAATAAAACACTTCAGCTAAACAAAAGGGTACATATAATATCCAATTTATCTCATGTAAAAAAAAATTAAGTGCCCTCAAAAAGCTTAAAACACATGGTAAGGAAGAGTTTGGGGTTTAAATACTAGAAATCTAATCCTTAAGTACTCGGTCAATGATAATAATAATAGAATTTCAAAATTTATCAACATAGGAGGAACTAAGATTCAGAAATAAGACACAACTATGGTTAAATAATTATGCATAATAAACATCGAGAGATTAATGATTCAGGTTATGAATGTCAGCTTTGAAGTAAAGCACTATTCAGTATATTTCATGTTACTACAAGCCCCAAATCAGCTATATAATATGCTTGAACACAACCCTCCCAATAAACTTTAATACATTCTTGTTCTATTCTCTTTGGTAACTGTTGCAGACAAAAGACATTAAGAATAAATGCCTAAATACTGGAACTATTACTAATGTAGATTCCACACCACACTTTGAATTCATATAAGTTTATTATTTCAAGAGAATGGGTTTCAGTATACATATTTGGAGTTATCAAATAAAGCTTCATTTATTTTATGTACTATTTATTTTAACTTTCATGTACAAATATGAAATGCAAGAACAATAATGAAAGATTAAGTCAGACTAACAATATGGCACATCAGAGAAAAAAAAAAAAACCAAAAGGCTGAATTAGCAGTTAATTTCTCAGTATAATTCAGGGCTTTCCTGCTGTTGATTATGAATTATGCAGTAGTTTTCAGTGACTTTTAAGAAACGGCTATATATGTATTATATATATTTATACCACATGTATATTCATGAGGGATTATATAAGAACAGAAATCATGTGTAAAGAGAACTAATAATATATTAATAGTTGCATAAAACTTCCAAATAACTATGGCAGTATGCTAATATGAACTAGCTAGAAAAGAAACATAGCAAATACTTTAAAAGGTTTTATAAGAAAATAAGTAGCAAATGAGCCATTGTGTAACAACTGAAAGTGTAATAATGAAGACTTTGTAACAATGGAAATGTCTTTATGTTAAATGGAAAAACAGACATGATTCTAAATATGTAAAACAAATTCATATATGAACAGAGACTAGAAAGGAACCAGAAAAATGAAAATATTTGTGTCAAGACAACCAAAGTCTTATATCTATGCTTTCAAAATCCTTTAATGTAGTTAAAACACAGTTTAGTTTTAAAAATTTCTTGAGAAAAAAATGAATACACATCCAAATTCTTCTTCCATACAAGTCCTATCCTTCCTGGTTATGGGAAATATATAGGTGATGTCACCAGGTATCACGAAAAGGCTGTGCGGGCACCTTCCCGGCAAGGATGCAAAGACAGACTTATGAATAATCTGTCACAACAATAAAAGTGAAAAGGCAAAGTCTTAGCACAAAGGAGCTAAATTCTAGTCTAAAATAAACTCTATGCATTACTAGTGAATTATAATCATCCCTGTCTCCATTCCTTTTTGTTTACTGAATTGTGTGCCTGGGTTCCATATTTGCTTCAATCAGTGAACACAAAAATAGAAATCAAGTTTTCTGTACCCAATCACCTCCAAATAGAAACATTTCAAAAGCAAGTGGGCTGTGTTGACACCGGTCTCCACAGGTGTGTGAATACCCCTGTCTCAAAAGTATGTCTACTATGACATTCAGAAACCTGGTCTTAACTCTTGATTAACCCAAGGCCATTTCAATTATAAATAAGTTTTCATCCACTAATCCCCAAAAAGGCCCAAGAGCTTTTATTCTTATTTTTATATACACACACACCCATAAGCGTGTATATGTATAACAATGCATATGTATATGCATATATATATATATATATATATATGTATATCCTGTGGGTGAAGACAGATGCATACATGTTCATGTGTATTAGCACTTCTAAGAAAAAATAACTTAAAAGGTCACAATAAAATTTTCCACCAAATGATCTTCTCTCAGTTTTTGACTACTTGGAATTGTAACAATTTATGCTCTTTATTTGTCTGTTATAAATATCACCCCCTACCAGATGTAGACCTCTTTACAGGTGCCAGATCACCAGCTTACAGCACTTTTATATGCAATGCAAGTTTTTTAATATGTAACTGAATGGATGACAGAGTTTTCAGGGAGAAATATCAAGGGGGAAAGAAAATAAGAAAATGTTAGGTCAACAGAGCCATTTGGAATAAAAGCTATAGTAAAGGCACCATGCATGCACCAGTGCTGTCAATCTAAATGATGCCTATTCACCAAACGGTGCTACTATTTCAAACCTAAAAGGTAAGGCAAAATTCTATCAATAATGAGATAACGAGGGTGCCTGGCTGGCTCAGTCAGTGGAGCGTGCAACTCTTGATCTCAGGGTTGCAGGTTCAAGCCCCACGTTGGGTGTAGAGGTTACTTAAAAAGAACACCTTTAATTTTAAAAAATAATGAGAATGCCGTAAGAGAGGCAAGCATAAATGGGCTACATATAGGGCCTACTGGGGACAAATGACAGAAAAGGGAAAGAAAATCAAAAAAACTGATCACAGTTCACCTAACCTGCTTATATCAACTCTGTTTGTATCATTGAACCAGTCTACCTTCATTTCCATCAGAAGCATGTACTAGTCCTCTAACAAGTGCTTTGAGGTCCAAAAGCCCACTGCACATGCAGTCAGTGCTTCCTATGAACACATTTTGTATTGAGGCCTATGTTCACACTTAAAGCCACTAACAATTATGAAGAAGAAACACCCTCAAAACCAACACTCCAATTCATTCCCTGGCTCTGACACAAATCCTTTGCCTTTATCTGGCAAAAGGGCTTGATTCCGTAGCTGAACATTCTAACGGCCCTGAGAATGGAGATGGCCCTTCATTCTTCATACGGAAGGAAAATCATAAAAATTTAGGTCTACAAATACTAATAGTATAAATGAAAGAACCAACATTTGAACATGGATGAAAACAGCTTAATACGTTGACTATCTAAATAACTTTAACTACTAGGCGAAGTTGGTTTTGAATCACTTTACTCTGTGAGCCTGCCTCTGTCTGGAAAGAATTCAGCGAATTTAAGTCCATGCCACCAGCCTTTTCCCTTCTCTATGGACTGTTTCCCAATATTTGTGACTTGCCCATAACTTAATTCAAAGTATAAACCCAGCAGTACAGGAGTTCACAGTCTAATTCGGTCTCATCATTCAGACCAAGAACTAAATTTGAAAGCAAAAGCCAAGGCATTTACTCAGCATTAGGCAAGGTTCTGAAAGACTGAATCCTTTTTTAAGACTGATTCCAGTTCAGCCGCATTTCCAAATTCCAACTATTATATAGCTCTTAGGCACCGAACTGAGCTTTTGGACAAACACATGAATTATGATGAAAATTAACATCTGTTTATTATTATAATAAGAAGGAGTTATATCTTATGAGGATGCTGATAAAGCTGATATGCTGTTTGGAACACATATCAGACAGATTTACTAGTCTTTAAAAATGCAGTATTCATTTATGAACCAGTAGATTTTATGTGATGCTGTAATAACATGTCTTCCAGGAACCTGGGCCTATATTTAAAATATATATATATATTTTCCCAAATACCTGTCTTAATCACTATCTTTTCCTAACAAGAGAAAAATATTACCTCATTATTTATAAAATTTACTTTTACTCTTTACTTTGAAATACATTACTTAATGCATTTTTATAGCTCATATAAATCTGTGTTAACTTATCATTCATTCATTCATTCATGAAAGGTAGTACAGCTTATTTTTTAAGGACCCAATTTCTAGAGCCAAGGTACTTGCATCAGAGTTCTGGCTCTGGCTCCCCTGAGCTGTGCAACCTTGAGCAACTTCCTTGCCCTTTCTGTGACTCTGTCATCTTATCGCTAATGTGGGGACAGCAACAGTCCTGCGTACCAAGGAAGCTAGTAAATACATGCCACATATTTGGCACATGCTATGCATATGATGGCTATTAATCTAAGTATTGATTTTACAATATTTGTTGCACAACTACTATGTGCCAGGCACTGTTCTTTTTTTTTATTTATTTTAAGAGAGACTTAGAGACAACATGAGCAGGGGAGGGGCAGAGAGAGACAGGGAGAGAAAAACCCCAAGGGGGCTCTGCACTAACAGCACAGAGGGGCTACATGGGGCTTGAACTCATGAATAGTGAGATCATGACCTGAGCAGAAACAGAAGTCCAACTCTCAACCTACTGAGCCTCCCAGGCACTGTTGTAAGAACAGAGCAAACCGGACCACGTCCCTCTAAGATCTCACGCTCTAATTAAGGAGAAACGCAATAAGCAAATAAATCTAGAATATAATGTCAGGGATACATGGTATAAAAAAATTATGCCAGGTACATGGATAGAAAGAACAGGACACCATTTACTAGTCGGCACAGACTTATTCTGCACAGCAGCTGGGCCAATCTGCCACTTAGGCGATAAGGCCCGATCTGCACGTCAGGAGGCAGTGGGACGGAGAGAAGAGGCTTTGGAGCCAGCTGGAAGGGAGGCACAGGCCTGACCGCACTATTTATTAGTGACATGAACATGGGAAGAGGTTCAAATGCTATGCAGGCAAAATGAGACAAATGCTGAT